TAATGATATTTAACATTAGGAACTGGTATTTCACTTCAGTTAGTTGTGACATTAAAAGATTTTTAAAAAAAACATCAAACATTCAGCAGGTTTTTTTTGTTTTTCTAATTTGTCATTCCCAATTTTAAAGAAAGATTATGCTTAACTATCCCAGGATCATTAGCATTTATAACCACTGATCTTTCAGAAGAAAAAGAGAAAATTTACATTTCGTTGCTTAAATTATTGACTTGATAAAAATTTAATTGATAATGATAAATACTTTATTGATGTGACTGTTTAATGAGGATTGTTTAACATTTAATTGTAGTCACTATTTGATCTCAAGTTTTGGAAGATAAGTTTCGATTTCATGTACATTTTTTAGGTATTACAAATGTAACTAACGTTCCATCTGTTAATTATTGATTTACGATGATACTTCAATTCACTGGTATTGTAGAAAACGAGAACATTGTGATAAAATCTGAGAGCCACATAATGAAGACTTAATTTGCAATATTCCAACTAATTGTCATAAAGTGGACTGTTCCTTTTGCAAATATTAGTTGATCGTCTCAGACTTCATTGTCCCTGCATTTTCATACCAATTGCTTTTTGTTCGCATTCTTTCCTCCTCGATCTTCTTGACATTTTGTTGCCAGACATTCTATTCCTGACTAGAGTTAGATACTACTTATGCCGAGATAAGTAGCACATACAGCACTATGACTATAGATCTCACTTCCTAAGCTATACCATTAGAAATAATTGAAATATTCTACCGGAAAGAATTTCTTTTTTTAGACCCTCATATTATCAGCTTTAATTTCTAAATACTGATTGAATAATTCGTACATATTGTATCATTTGTAAAGTGGAAATCCATTAGACTGAAACATCAAATGAATGAACTTGTTTGTAGTGTCGGCTGTTATGTTAAGCCAGTATACCTTATTCTAGCTTTCGGGCAGCCCAAATTATTTACTCTACATGAGTTATATTTTGATCTTGTTGATTATTCGCTTACCAATCTTGACTGCTTTTATATGAGCGTATATGTGTGTACATTTTTATCCTATTCATCACATTTCTGTAACTTATTTTATGTGACTATAAATATTGATTAGCGCTTGACTGAAAGGGGAGTTGGCTTACCCGCCATCTTCACTACGCGTCGTTTCGCTTCTCTCTATTCCATTCGCTTCATATACAAAATATATGTATTCAAAAGTCCATTCTCGTTATTTGACTTATTTAATTCCGTTATTGACTAACTCGATTTAAGTCGATGATTATATACGAGGATGGGCGATAACATTCATACCATCTACTTAGAGTCAGATCTCGGGCCACTAAAGTGGAGAGCCTGTCGACAACATCGTCCGATCTAAATGACGACAAAATAAAGGGCCCCACTAAATGTTAACTATTGCAATGAGTACAAGTTTAGTCATTTTAGTTACTTGGTATATTACTGTTTATCTTAAATCTTCTTACGATTAACTAATAATCACTTTTCATGGAAGGTTGCACTATTAAAGTCTAATTTTCCAACACAAAAATGGGATTGAAAATAAATACTATAACTTCATGCTTTTAGAAATTCTCATTTGAATAATCCAAAGACACATTGAACTTGTTTAAACAGTAAGTATACAAATAATTATTGTCAATGATAGGTTTCTTTGTGAAGTTTTGGAAAGACTTAACCAAATCAGTAACATTCATAATGAAAAAATATTCATTGCCTAAATGAACTTGACTAAGTCAAGTGGTAAAATTAAGTTCAATGATTACAAAACTTGTATGTTTGTATTGCAGCTATTATTTCTTTTTTTATTGACTGGAAGATTTGGTTGGCTTTGATGTATCTATTTAACTGATTCTTGATTGAAGTGTCAGGTTTCTAAATATTCTCTCTTATTCTTTGTGTTTCCTCCACTCAATATTTGGACGTTTTCCCAGTCAAACTCATGTCTACATCAGTTAATATGAGCAAAGCTATGTTATGCCGTTTAACAGCTAACAGGTGTTTACGTAGACAAAGAGGATGGCTACCTTGTCACTTTTATATAGTATTTGTTGCAGTTGTTTTAATTCACTTTACAGATGTTGTTTGGCTTATCTTTGATCGTCAGTATTTCCTTTAGTTTATATAGCATTATTTGCAAACATTGTTTCAGGTTATAGTCTACACTTCTTTCTAGTGGTCTTAATAATTTATTTGTAACCTCGGAGATGCTCTGTGTGTTGTGTAAAAACTATCTGTTTGTTGATTATGTATTTGGTCGTCAACTTGGTGAACATTTCCTAATGAAATTTTGCGGACAGACATTGTTTAGATAAATCCATTAGATATTGTCCTTCATTTCTTCACGTAATGGTGGTCGGAAACAATACAAGAAGACTGGAGACTCAAGTGTATCGAATACTGACTATAGCAACAACCAAACGGCTCATAAAATAGACTGTATACAAACACTATCCAAAAGATTAAAAATGTAACTCAACACAGTCGTTATACAGAAAAAAGGGGGTAAAGTAATTGAGTTATTAACTGTAAGTAATAGTTGATTTTCACACCAATTCCCTTTATTCTAACCTATTTTAAGAGGTGTTCAAACATCCGGAGTGAACTAATAAATGAGGCCTTCCAAATATTAGGCAACACATTTAACTACTTGCGAGTAGTTACAGTGAATAACGACAATAATCTAAGTTGAATGTTAGTATCTAACATGCAATTTAAACTTACAAGTCAACATTAGTTGTAAATATAAATGACATTTATTTCATATTTGTTTTAAACAGACTGATCATCAAAAATTATATTAACTTACTGGGTACTCTCAAATGACATTTATTTGAGTGGATGATATGGTGCACATAATGATTGAGTGAAAGAGCACTATAGAACATTTTCAATTTTTCCAATAAGAATGGATTTGATTCACGTTTGCTCTTAGTTACCCCATAAATAAGTTTCCATGAGTGCGACCAAGAAAATGTTGGGGATTCTTTCAGCAGCTACATAAACAGCTTTGTATATTCATGTATACTACCCACCGATCGTCATGTCATAACTTTATTTCTCTGTCAGGTCAGAAAATGAAGTGAAGCCAATGTAGAAGTATCGATTTCATAATTTGTCATCTTTTATGAGATCTGTGAAGAAGATTGACATACAGTCTTATGAATGAATTTTGGTAAATAAAATATCTAGATTGCTAACTTAAGCTCTACAAAACACATATTTGTGTTTAAAAACTTTTTCACCGGTAAATACCTACTTTAGATTAGTTGGGTTCATTGAATTAGTATGTGACTTAAAATTGTAATCATCGTTTCATGTATTGCTCAAGTTCAATAATTTAGAAAATCTTCTTAAATTTAGTTAATTCATGATATGCAACACCACTTAACTTCCTATTATCACTTCGTATCAATAATGGTTAATAGTGAAATCCAAAATACGCTTTTCATTCTATTGAATACTTATGGTCTCGATACTATTTTTGAATGAATGTTGGATTGTTTATCGGTAATGTAAAGTCAAGAAGCCTATTTACTAACAGATACTAGTTAAATACAATCCTGAATATCGACCATTGTGAACTAAAAATATCTTCAAATAAATAAATAACACAGTTTGCATTGCCGAATGATCTTCGCTAGACGACTTTTAAAAACTAAGAAGCATTAGATAGTAGTTTTATCCTGGTATAGAACTCAACAGCAGTGCACATCCACGAATACATCGAGGATTGAGACCATGACTATTAGGTCTCGCAGTAGATGTTTAGCCTTTAGACCATTGAACTACTGATGCAATCTATCATTTTTTCTAACTCCAAGCAACCGGTAGTAAATAATTGTTAGATCTATTGCAGCATCCAAGTCATCCGGTCGAGATACGCGCAAAACCGAAGTTTCCGAAACAACGATTTGTCTACAATAGCGTTTCTCAACTTGTGAGGTGTCTGGGGTGTTTAAACGCGTCCTTCAAGTATGAAATAAAAAGGCCTCTATAGTTCAAAGGACAGCTAATAGCTGTGTCTAAATTTCATAACAGTTTATGAACAATCGAAACCCGAACCAAGAGCAAAACAATATAGAAAATGTTGCGTTTAAGCAAATGCACAAAACTGTGGATAACCGCTACAGTGATTAAGGTACAGTAATTATAATGATAAATACAATGATAAGTACAATAAACGTTATAATTATATGTGAACATTTCAGAATATTACACTTCCACTTGCGTTACAATATAAGTGTAAAAATTGTTGGGATACAACCGCTTACTGAATGTAAATAAGTAGTATAAAACAATATACGAAGTAGTGGAAAAGAAGCGAGTAGGAACAATGTAAGACAAACTTAACAATAAGAAACAACAAAAATAACAGATATTAGGAAGATGATCATTTATTTTATTAATTTAATAATTGAGTTCATAAGTCAATCGAGGCTAGACCACTGAATGGCCGTTTCGTCCTAGTATGGCACTCCTCAACAGTGCGCTGACAAGATTAATCATTATAAATAATTATAACTGTAATCTTGTAATTATTCTAACAGAATTCTTAAGCTTTAATCCAAACCAAGATAACGCCAACTTACTTCATGCCATAGTTTATGTACAGTCTCTTCCCAACATTATTCATTTCATGGATAAACAAACCATAATGAGATAATCTACTTTTAGTCGAAAAAAAAAACACAACTGAAACGATAGATATTAGGGGAGTACACTATACATATTTGTTGCATATATTTTTTATAGTTCTCAGAAATTGAAATTATTACTTATGGCTAAAATCTCTGTCAACATGAATACACTATTTTAAATAAAATCTAATGTCAACACATTTTATCTATCTACTTACAATCTGTCTATTATAGTTTGTTAAGTATTGTATTGTTGTTTAGTTATTTGTTGACAAATGCACGCACACACACAGACATAAATAAAGCAATAATTGAAAACTTTTACATTTTTCTCTTGAAATGAATGGTTACAAGGAAATATCATGATAATAATAACAATAATAGTTACACGTAGTAGTAGTAGTAGTAGTAGTAGTAGTAGTAGTAGTAGTAGTAGTAGTAGTAGTAGTAGTAGTAGTAGTAGTAGTAGTAGTAGTAGTAGTAGTAGTAGTAGTAGTAGTAGTAGTAGTAGTAGTAGTAGTAGTAGTAGTAGTAGTAGTAGTAGTAGTAGTAGTAGTAGTAGTAGTAGTAGTAGTAGTAGTAGTAGTAGTAGTAGTAGTAGTAGTAGTAGTAGTAGTAGTAGTAGTAGTAGTAGTAGTAGTAGTAGTAGTAGTAGTAGTAGTAGTAGTAGTAGTAGTAGTAGTAGTAGTAGTAGTAGTAGTAGTAGTAGTAGTAGTAGTAGTAGTAGTAGTAGTAGTAGTAGTAGTAGTAGTAGTAGTAGTAGTAGTAGTAGTAGTAGTAGTAGTAGTAGTAGTAGTAGTAGTAGTAGTAGTAGTAGTAGTAGTAGTAGTAGTAGTAGTAGTAGTAGTAGTAGTAGTAGTAGTAGTAGTAGTAGTAGTAGTAGTAGTAGTAGTAGTAGTAGTAGTAGTAGTAGTAGTAGTAGTAGTAGTAGTAGTAGTAGTAGTAGTAGTAGTAGTAGTAGTAGTAGTAGTAGTAGTAGTAGTAGTAGTAGTAGTAGTAGTAGTAGTAGTAGTAGTAGTAGTAGTAGTAGTAGTAGTAGTAGTAGTAGTAGTAGTAGTAGTAGTAGTAGTAGTAGTAGTAGTAGTAGTAGTAGTAGTAGTAGTAGTAGTAGTAGTAGTAGTAGTAGTAGTAGTAGTAGTAGTAGTAGTAGTAGTAGTAGTAGTAGTAGTAGTAGTAGTAGTAGTAGTAGTAGTAGTAGTAGTAGTAGTAGTAGTAGTAGTAGTAGTAGTAGTAGTAGTAGTAGTAGTAGTAGTAGTAGTAGTAGTAGTAGTAGTAGTAGTAGTAGTAGTAGTAGTAGTAGTAGTAGTAGTAGTAGTAGTAGTAGTAGTAGTAGTAGTAGTAGTAGTAGTAGTAGTAGTAGTAGTAGTAGTAGTAGTAGTAGTAGTAGTAGTAGTAGTAGTAGTAGTAGTAGTAGTAGTAGTAGTAGTAGTAGTAGTAGTAGTAGTAGTAGTAGTAGTAGTAGTAGTAGTAGTAGTAGTAGTAGTAGTAGTAGTAGTAGTAGTAGTAGTAGTAGTAGTAGTAGTAGTAGTAGTAGTAGTAGTAGTAGTAGTAGTAGTAGTAGTAGTAGTAGTAGTAGTAGTAGTAGTAGTAGTAGTAGTAGTAGTAGTAGTAGTAGTAGTAGTAGTAGTAGTAGTAGTAGTAGTAGTAGTAGTAGTAGTAGTAGTAGTAGTAGTAGTAGTAGTAGTAGTAGTAGTAGTAGTAGTAGTAGTAGTAGTAGTAGTAGTAGTAGTAGTAGTAGTAGTAGTAGTAGTAGTAGTAGTAGTAGTAGTAGTAGTAGTAGTAGTAGTAGTAGTAGTAGTAGTAGTAGTAGTAGTAGTAGTAGTAGTAGTAGTAGTAGTAGTAGTAGTAGTAGTAGTAGTAGTAGTAGTAGTAGTAGTAGTAGTAGTAGTAGTAGTAGTAGTAGTAGTAGTAGTAGTAGTAGTAGTAGTAGTAGTAGTAGTAGTAGTAGTAGTAGTAGTAGTAGTAGTAGTAGTAGTAGTAGTAGTAGTAGTAGTAGTAGTAGTAGTAGTAGTAGTAGTAGTAGTAGTAGTAGTAGTAGTAGTAGTAGTAGTAGTAGTAGTAGTAGTAGTAGTAGTAGTAGTAGTAGTAGTAGTAGTAGTAGTAGTAGTAGTAGTAGTAGTAGTAGTAGTAGTAGTAGTAGTAGTAGTAGTAGTAGTAGTAGTAGTAGTAGTAGTAGTAGTAGTAGTAGTAGTAGTAGTAGTAGTAGTAGTAGTAGTAGTAGTAGTAGTAGTAGTAGTAGTAGTAGTAGTAGTAGTAGTAGTAGTAGTAGTAGTAGTAGTAGTAGTAGTAGTAGTAGTAGTAGTAGTAGTAGTAGTAGTAGTAGTAGTAGTAGTAGTAGTAGTAGTAGTAGTAGTAGTAGTAGTAGTAGTAGTAGTAGTAGTAGTAGTAGTAGTAGTAGTAGTAGTAGTAGTAGTAGTAGTAGTAGTAGTAGTAGTAGTAGTAGTAGTAGTAGTAGTAGTAGTAGTAGTAGTAGTAGTAGTAGTAGTAGTAGTAGTAGTAGTAGTAGTAGTAGTAGTAGTAGTAGTAGTAGTAGTAGTAGTAGTAGTAGTAGTAGTAGTAGTAGTAGTAGTAGTAGTAGTAGTAGTAGTAGTAGTAGTAGTAGTAGTAGTAGTAGTAGTAGTAGTAGTAGTAGTAGTAGTAGTAGTAGTAGTAGTAGTAGTAGTAGTAGTAGTAGTAGTAGTAGTAGTAGTAGTAGTAGTAGTAGTAGTAGTAGTAGTAGTAGTAGTAGTAGTAGTAGTAGTAGTAGTAGTGAATTGAACACGAGCATCAGTGAGAACAATCGATTGTAGGAGGAATTGTTCAGAATATCTAACAATCAAATAGTAAATACGTAATTTGCAAAATGTCCATCACTTGTCTTATAATGACTCAGACTTCATTGTTCTTGCATTTTCATACAAATTGCATTCTGTTTCCATTCTTTACTGTTCGATCCTTTTGTCTCTCTGTTGCCAGACATTCTGTTCACAACTCACATCATCTACTACTTATATCAAGATAAGCAACAGTAGTAATTGATGTTAGAAAATTACAAATTGATTGAAATCAGTGAAATAATGAAAATTTGGAAAAGAAAATTTTTTTTCGCTTAAATTATTTTCTTTTTTAAAAGACAAAAAATGTTATGGAATTTATGTTGTACAGGAGAATGTTCTTCTCTTTTAAAAAAGAAGGTAAAGTAAGATCATGTATTTTTGTACTACAACAAACTATTTGATTGTCAGGTATATTTTGTAATATTTGCTCACTTTTTTTTTATAAAAAAAACGTTGTTCTGTTTTTTTCTTTGTAATGGATTAAACATTGTCTTTTGATTTTCAATTGAATGACATTTATTTCAGTCTAAAAAAAGTGTTAGGTGTCAGTAAATGAGAAATAGGAGGAGAAAATATCTATAGTCAGAAATTATAATTATAATTATAATTGAATTTAATGTTTGTGTTTAGAAAAAATACATAGATTACTTGTTATAGTTGAATAATATATAATAATTCCAATGGTTGAAATCATGAGTTCATTGAAGCCAGACCACTATGGACAAACCTGGAAACACTGGATGGTCGTTTCGGACTATTATGTGACTCCTCAGCCGTGTGCATCCGTGATCCTTCCTCGAGAGATTCGAACCTAGGACCTATTGGTCTCGTACGCGAGCGCTTAACCACTAGATTATTAAGCCGGCATCCAGCGGTGTTAATGTCTAACATCAACTAACCCACGAAATTGAGCGACATATCCACCAATGTCTTCAGTGAGTTACCATCTCATGTGAGACCTGGTTGAACTCCACTGGTCACTGATTGATTTTGTATTGTATATTTGAATCTTTCATTGATGTTTAGGAGTCCTAGAGTGAACATCAACTATAGAATGAATGGTATATCTATCTGATGAGTCCCTATTAGGTCAAAATGTGAGTCTTGAATTTCACTATGAGCTACTATCTATGTCTGCTTATTAATCGAACCTACCAGTCTCGCGCGTGATCGCTTAACCACTAGACCATTGAGCCGGAATTCAACGGTGTTAATGTCTACCTTCAACTAATCCACGAGGTTGAGCGACACAAACGATTGAATAGTTTTTCAATAGTTCATTAATCTAATACTGTTACTTTTTGTTATGAAAATAAACAATTTATCTTATCAATGTCCAATATTTCGATGGAAAGATTAAGTATTTTTTCCATTGAAATGTGTCAATCAGCTAATGAATTCATAAAATTATTTTAGCATGAAAAATATGAGTAAACTGACATTGATTGATCCAATTTATTAGCACAAAAGGATCGATGAACTTTTCACAGAAAAAAAGAATCTGGATAAAAAGAGCGGTTGGTAACTTATGTTTCCTTTTTCCATTCAAACATTGAAGGGCGGAGAGAAAATGAGTATTTCATGCTAATATAACAGTGTAAGAGTTGGATAAATTATTTAGGATTTTTAAATCAAGTTTCATTTTGATGTCTCTTATAATGAGTAAAATATGTTTGGATTAAAATTAACAATCTCAGTTGTATTCAGTAACATAGATCAAATGAATATTTTCTAGGACGTAGTCTTATCAAACGAGGATTCATGTTCTTTTAAAATTCAAAGAATATATGCGAATTATTAACGTTTGACAAATTAACACTCAGTTAATGTGATTATAATAAAAAGCTAAGTAGTTAAGGATTCAGGGAAATCTTGGCATATAAGTACAAAAAAATTCTGATCTCAAAACTTGAGGATCCTAGGCATAATCTGCTATGGAGTCTACGGTCTGCTGAAATGTGTTAAACTATGGCAAGACAGATATGTAGTGCTTGAAATGTATTCCATTAGTTCACCATTTGATATCAGCAATTCATGACATCTATTATGAATTTGAACTAATTCCCATAAACTACGGGTTCAAACAAATGAGTATTTACCACCGTCGTTAATATTTATAGTTGAGGAATATTTATTTTATTAACTAGTAAGTAAATATCCTATTAATTCATATTAGATAACAATCTGTATGATTTGACCGAATAGATTGAATACATTTATCATTTGTTTGCGGAGAATAACAACACAATGTATTTTGAATAATGAGTAGCATTGTAATCATAGGTTTGGGTTTCTTACTATTCTGTGCATCTAAAATTGATGCATCCGAATCTCAGTGTTAACGCGAGCCCATTATCTATCTCTGAATGACCAGATAGGCTATTGTGTAACGATAATCATCGACTTGTTCCAAACGTGTGGTACTTATTATTAATATCAATGGAATGTATTTTTTCTGTTGTTAGTGTTTAGAAGTGTCATTATCAAGGTTTGAACTTGACCACTTTAAATAAATTGAATATTGAGTAGATTTTTGATGATAAAACTATTATATTTGTAAAGTTCCAATCAGCAGAATAATAGATTTCTGACATTTAATAACTTAGTGTAAGTCATTTCATCAGAGAATAAAGATAAATAACAAATTAACACAAGCTTATACAGTATAAAGAACAGAATACGTTACACAACGTCATAAACCTAATTTTCTACTCATTAGGACTTTACAAATGCACTATTTCTATTATAGAGTTTGTTCAGTTTTGTCTATTATATGAACTGTTTGAACGGTTAACCTGATATTACAAATGAAATGGAAAAGTGTATACTTCGTCCCACTACTAATGATTATCTAAAATATAATCAAATTGTAAATGTATTCACTATTAAAATATTTGTTTAAAGAGTCTATATGTCAGGAAATACAGATCATAATCATTAATAGTGGTCAGTCAGTCAGTCAGTCAGTCAGCTACAACGTAGGACCAGGCACATATATGCATCGGTCCAAGTTGCCATACCTCATTAACACAACAAGATGAACACCGGATTCATAAGAGTAGTTAATTCAGTGGTGGTAATATATAGGAGAAAGATTGCAATAAGGATATAGTACAGGAAGAGAGAATTAGTTCGTAGAAAGAAAGATATGAAGCAATTTTAATCTCCTAGTTTAATGGAAGATGGAGAGTGTATACACCGACGCCATTGTGATCGATTCTGAACCATGTCACCGATAGTCTCCAACCATTGGTTACGATAGTCACGTGAACCCCAACCAAGTAGTCTGTATCTACCAACATGGCTCAGACTAGAAGTTAGTGACTTCAAGCACTGATGCCACGTTTTGGTTTGACCTCCCCTAACTATTAATATTGGGAACAAGATCTATTTGATCTATAAGACGTTAATGTAAAAACTGAGCAAAAAATTACTCCACGTAAACAATCTACATGTAAACTGTTTGTTTATTTAAAAATAACATATAAATTAATAATTCATAACATATTAATGAAAATTTTTAAGGATACTGCTTATTGTACACATAGGATGATATCATATTTGGAATAGAACTATCGGAACTAAATGCCAGAAACGGTGCATCCAGGTTTTCCACGGTGGTCTAACTTCAATAGACTCATGATCTCAACTATTGAAATTACTATAATATCCACAAAAACTCTTCTGATATTCAGTAGTGTTCACACGTTAAATAGTATATAATTTCATTACATTTGAATTATGGGATAAGAAAATAATATTGCAGTGAATGAGTAATCAGCTGAAGAAAATCAATTTATTGTTTAACCTCAAAATCATATAGTGGCTAAGTAAGATATGAAATTCGTACATTAAATACATCATTTGCACATTTTCTTCGCGTTATCATTTAGATATTCTATTATTCCTGCAATTCTTTTGTTATCGCGATTGCTCTTCAATTTCTTTCTCATTCTCTACATTGCAATCTTCTGCTGCTACACATTTCATTTTCGATTAGTGCTACATACTACTTATATCTGCCTGTATAAGTAGCATGTACCACAGTATAAGTTTATTTATTTATTTGTTTTTTGTACTAACGATAATCATGAAATATTTTACTAGGAATCTCTACAAAATGTCATTTTAATTTGTGTCTACATATGAAAATTTATCAAGCAAAAATATGTCAAATCTTTATATTATCATATTTAAGTTTATACTGATTAAAGATTCGTTCGAATGAATACCAGAAAGAAAAGTTACTACTAGAATATGATTATGTTTTTAGTTACTGAACCGGAATCGGTTCATTTTTTTTGTCTTACTATTCTGTGTTTTGATGTACAATTCGATTATGAGATGGATTTAAGTTAAATCTATACTTCGAAGCTTGATTGAAAATGAAGGGAGAATTTTTTTTAAAATTTTTATGCTTATTCACGCTTTATTAAAGTTTGAGATTTCTCTACTTTATATAATGAATAGGTGATAGATCAAGATCATTGTTTAATTATCTTAGTTGTATGAGATTATTCATGCTGATATATAAAATTAACACGATTACGTAGTCATTCTGATAGTAAAGCAAACATTTTGAAAATGTTTAGAAATATTTGTAGCACTATAAACACAAGTGCAAATTGTATTATTTTATCCTTATCACTAAACGAATAGATAAATAGTAAAGTCTAAATCACTAAATGATTTTAGTAAGAACACCACTAAAATGCCAGAAGCACTGAATAGGTATTTCAACCTATCCTAAAACTCCACAGCATTGAGCATATAATGCCGCGCCACAGAAAATCGAACTCACAAACTTTATTATTGAGAAAGAACGCTTAATCTCTAGATCACTGTGTCGAAACCCATTTGTGCACATGTCTAACTTCAGTTAATTCATAATGTTGTTTCATTATCTTGCTTTGCACTTGGATTATGGCTGTTTCACACCCGAAAGGGTTGAACTCCAAAGATCAAAGGTTTACAGCAGAACTTCAGAACTGATATCTTTAAGCTAGTCGGTGAGCAGATGATGATTACCAGTATATGGGATTTGTAGAGATTGAAGAAATCCACAGTTTGAATCACAAACTGATCCTGGTTAGACCACCATAGGTAAGTGAGATCAAAGTCCCTGGGTTCGATTTCCAATGGTGGGGTTGTAGATGCCATCACTGTGGACCCAAAGTTAGTATGAGATCATCGTCCAATGCTTTCAGGCTTCCAATGGTGGTCTAGCTAAAACTAGTTCGTATGAACTTTTTATGATCTCCAAAAATCCCCATATACCAAAGGCTATAAAGTAGCAAATTCAGTCATTCTGTCAAAAAAGCGCCAATTCAAATTATATTGACTAAGATCCTACAGACAGCCAGTAATCAGCGCATCTTTTTACAAATCAGTAAGTCAGTAGTCTGGGACATACCAACAATCAACTCCACTCGTAAATTAGTAGCTCATAGTTTATTTTCGTCCATATTTCGAGGGCATCATCAACGAC